CAAGCTTGGGGACGTGTGTGCCCCCTGGATGTGTGCATGTGGTGTGGGTGGGCTGCCACTGTGGGCTTTGCCCCAGGTGCCAAACTTTATGATCCAGGGGTTTAGGTTGTAGCCGTGTTGGTCTAAGGATATAGGCAGACAAGGTTCCTTGGGTGAATTTGATATCTTTTATTAGACCAACCCAAATGGTTGGACAATAGTTATTAAGCAAGCTTTTGGGTTCAAAAACCCTTCGTCAGGCCTGACGAAGGGTTTTTGAACCCAAAAGCTTGCTTAATAACTATTGTCCAACCATTTGGGTTGGTCTAATAAAAGATATCAAACTTTATGATACAGCACTTCCAGACCATGCTCCCTTCTCTCCCTAATCCTGCGGGACAGGGTTGGGACCAAACCAAGCTACCTTCCCCTGAACAACTAGATCAGAGTCAGGCTTCCCCAACTCTATGCAGCTGGTTAGGACCCTACCATGTCTAGCCCTGGTGCTGGATAGCGACCATCGGCCAGATCTGACCTATGAATAGACTGGGCACTGCCCATCCAGCCCATCTTGGGAAAAGGTTGAGTACCACTGACTTATAGTAAAGAACTAACAGTCTTGCTACTGCCCCTGCAAGGATCTGAGGCCTAATCTCATGTGACACAGGGTAAAAACGGTGTCCAGGAATCGTGGCATCCCAGGAGATAATCTGAGTGAAGCAGCTGGCACTTCCTGGTGCCACACTCCCTGGACACACTGTGTTCCCAGGAAGACTCACTTCATGTCACAGTTGACCACGTATTTGGAAAAAATATTTTTTTCTACACATGCCTTCCAGAAATAATATGTATGTTTTATTTGGAGTCATGCTATATGTGAGAAATATAGTAATAAATCAACCATATTAAGATGACTGCAGAATGAACATATTACCATATTTACTCAAATCCAAAGCAAAGGTTTTTTTCCCCAGTCAACATGGGGAGGAAAAAGTTTCATCTTGGATTTGAGTACTGGCCTAGAGCAGGCAGCGGCTCAGCTCTGGCTTTGGCCCCAGGTTTGGGCCTGAAGCCAGAGCAGAGCTGCCACCTTCTCTGGACCAGAATGGTTCATTTGGTGGGGGAGGGGGCAAGTGGCCAGGGCTAGGGCAGGAGGCCATGGGGTGGGGCAGTGAGCCTGCCACCTGCCCTCCCTACCCCCTTCTTGTACCTGCAACTGTCCCCACACCTCCTGCCTCCCCTACCTTCTGCTCTTCCTTACAGCCTGCTGCCAAATCCCTACCTCCCCCCACACAGCTTTCCCCTCCTGCCCTTAACTTCTGCTCTGGCTCCAGTCCTTCCAGCCCCAACCTGGCCCAGTTGAGAGCTGCTGCCACTTCTCCTGACTGGGCTGGGGCTGGGACAGGCCACCACTGCTGCTCACTGCCTTGGAGCTGGATCAGAGCTGCACCAGAAGGTAAGTGGGGGTGAAGCAGGCATGGGGGATGAAGCATGTCAGGAGGTGGGGGACAAAAGCTGCAGGGGGAAGCAAGGACAGGCACAGAGAGGCAGGTGGCAGGGAGTATATGGCAGTGGACAGGCATCTGGCCCCTCACTCCCCACCACTGCTTTCTCTGCCACAGGCAAATTTAAGAGGACCTCCCACTAATTTTCCATGTATAGAATTTAATTACTGTGGGGGGGAGGGATAGGGGGTGTTCTAAGACATCTTGGATTCAGGTAAATATGATATTATTAACAATTATAAGCAAGTGTAAAATCTTCCCCAATGTGTTTATATGTTGACAAAAACACAATTTTGGAGCGTAGTTTTGTCGGATTTTGCTAAAAGATGCATCTAAAACGTAATTTCCTTCAAGTTATAACTGCGACAGCTGCACCTCCATGGAACAAGAAGATCACAAAGTCTGGGATGAAGCATGGAAAACAAAAAGATGAAATCATCTCGATCCAAAGGACATGGCCACGGAACAGTCTTCCAAAGCGAAGCAGGCAAATCCAGAGTCTGATTGTTTCTGTTGCCTTTCTACCAAAAGTGACACCCATGATTTGAACACCTTTATTAATATTTCTAAATCCATCCCATCTCTATCCTCCATAAGAAAACAACATTAACTCAGTTTTGACCTTGTAAAGTCAAACTCCATAAAGTTGACTAGGGAACTTACTATTGCCATTGATTTTATACAGAAGATGCCCAAATATGGTAACTAGGACTATGCAAAGCTTTGGTCCCTGATTTGATTCAGCAGAGATTCAGCTTGATTCAATGGCTGAATCTCCAAATCTGAATTGAATCAGGAGACCCCTTAATCTCTCCAAATCAAATCAGAACCCTCCAAATCAATTCAGAGAGATTTGGAAAGATTTGGAGATTCAGACACAGACACGGCTTTAAATGTTTTTTCTACATACCTCAAGGTACCAGGCAGCTCATGAATGCTGCGATGCTGGGGCACATGGAGCATCCCACAGGAGCGCCGGCAGACCCAGAAGTGGACCAGAAGCACTTCTGGTCGACTTCTGAGTCCACTGGGGAGTGCGCTGGGGGGCCCTCCGCATACCCCTCTGGCTCAGTGACTGGTGCCTCCTGGATCTGGGGGGGGCCACTGGGGGTCCCCCTACAGCCAATCACTGAGCCAGAAGGGTTTGGGGGGGGGCCCCCAGCGGGCCCGGAAATACTTCCAGTCCACTTCTGGGTTTGTCACTGAGCACGCGGGAGGCCCCTCCGCACTCCTGTGAGATATACCATCTGCCCCAGAATCACAGTGTTCATGAGCTGCACCTGGTACCATGAGGTATGTAGAAAAAATATCTAAAGCTGTGTCTATGCCCAAATTGTGGATTCTCTGAAACACCATCGAATCTTCAGATTTGGATTTGGCCAAAGCAAATCAGGGACAGTGACCTGAATCAACGAATTGAATTGCTGTCCCCAATTTGGGCCAAATCCAAATCCAAATTGAATATGGCCCATTTAGCACACCCTTAATAACAGGCAGCACTGTAAAACTCTAACAGTATACCTGCACCACAGACTTACTGTTCCAGGCAGTGGTGGATTCAAACAAGCCACTTTTCAAGCCATGTAGCTGTATTTACATGGCACTGAAGACAGGCTAGTTTACACTAGTGAATGACAGAACCACTAAAAGTCTGCCCACAGTGCCATGCAAACCCAGCTAGCTTGCTCCTGGTTTGGGAGAAGACACATATGGAGCAGCACCACATGTCTGAGGCTGCTGCTGCTGGGCCTAGAAAGTAGATATGCAATGAATTGGGCAGGTTACGTAAGGGTTCAAACGTGTCCAACTCCTTATAGTTTGCAGTGGGAGGCTGTGAGGGATAGCGGTTCAAAGAGGCTTTTACCCATAAGAGTGCTCTCTTCTAGCTACAGGATTAGCTAACAAATGGATAGGCCTGCTAGTCACCAAATCTTCCACAAAACTAGCTGGGTGCAAAGGGTGGACCTGCTGCATTCCTCGGGAACTTCCCAGAAACCCCTCCTAAAGCCAATGAATTCCAGTGACTTCTCTTCATGTGAAGCTGAATTAACAATCATTTCCCTTCTACAGTACTAATTAGAAAAGGCTACGATAAAGACAGAGAACAATAATTCTGCAAAGACCTAATCATGGCCACTGTTTGAAATAACCTTTGGAACATTTTTCACATGCAGTCTCATTTATGCCTGTAGGAGTTTATTTCTATGCAAAAGGAGTATTTTCAGGAATCATAATATTCTGAGATTTAAAATCCAAACCCTAGGTCATTCAAACTTTTCTCTGAACTGAGACTATGATGACATTGTCTTCAAAACATATGCATAGCGCACTCAGCAGCCTCCAAGATAAATAAGGGCAAAATACATTTCGTTCTTGCTGTTTGCACTTTTCTCAACAGTAGGAGTCTTTTTTATTTTATAATCATGATTCAGTCTAAAAGCCCTCAAAATGTTTTCATTTCACTAATAAAATACTGTTTAAAATATCAGATTAAAAAGCTTATTTCAGTGCCTGTCAGGATGCACATATTTTTCATTTAGATGATAAATTCTGTGGAAAAAAGCCTATGTGTACAAAATTAATACTAAGTACTAACCACAAATATAACCAGCAGCCTTCTGGAAAACATATGGAAACAAATACAGCAAACTCTGCGTGTTTTCTCACCTTTCATAAAGATTTTATAAATCTTACAAGTAACTAGAACAGAATAACAGATTTCTGTAAGTCACTTTACTTATTTTATTTATAGCCTTTGGCTTTGTTTGGACTTGTTTTTATTAATATCTTTATTTTACTAATTGGTAGATCTGACCTTTGATTCAATTGGACTCCTCGCGCACTTATGGCTAAACAGATGCTCAAAGTGCATTGCGGTTCAGTGGCAGCATGCTTACAGGATCAAGCCCTCCAATATCATAGTCAATTATAATATCATATAATGGGCTCTTTCCCATGACTGTCAAACAGATCCCAGTTATTTGAAATTGCTTACTAGCAGACGTTGTAAAATAGATCCACCAAGACACTAGGCTGAGAGTACATGACTCATTTCTTACAGGCCATGAACCAGCAGTAGCCATTCTGAGACACCTTTTCTGGATTTGGACCAGTGATTTTGGCTCTCTGTCCCATTACCTGGCCCTCTCTGTCCATATCACATTCTTCATATAAATATTATGAGAGTTATTTAGCTAAGGCTGCTGTGAAAGGTGTTTTGAAGGGAATTTTTGCAAACCTCTCTAACTGTGGACCTTATTTGAGACCTTCTACACAAGAATTCCTGTAAGCTAGTGTTATAAAGAAAACAAAAATATTCTTTCATCACCACTATGATTTTTAACAGACTTTTTTAAATAAGCAGAATTCAAATGCTAACGTTTTGAATCAAAAACTGAAGATGGAAAGGAGGGTCAAGACTACAATCTCACCAAAATGCCCAAAGTTTGAATGTGCTCATATAAAAGGTTCTGGTTTTATCCTAAGTCTATTAGTAATATTTAAAACTCCTCATACCTAGGTGTGCTGGTCCTTTCACTGTAATTCTCACACTGCGGCTCCCATGCGGTACAGCAATCACAGTTTCTTCCCCTAAAAAAATTAAAGAACTGTTTTAGAAATTATCTTGCACAAGGGAATTATCACATCACATAACAAGAGTGAAAACTGTCAGATACATCTCAGCAAATATTTAACAGGTTCCACAATTTTTCTATTAAAAATAATCATATGTTATTTTATTATGTACAGTACACCAAATCTGTTTGCTAAGCTATGCAGCTATTAAGACCTCCATATGAACTTGTAAGACTTTCTTGCTATTGAAAAATTATTTTCTATTAACAAAAACAACTAAAATGTCAGCAGCGTATTAGGTGCGTATTTACCCGTTGTTGTCGTTATTTCCTAATCACTGAGATCTACTAAGTAGTGCTTTTGCCTTGCAAAAGCTCCCAGCTGTTTAGTTTCATTTTGCCCACACCTCATTTCCTGCAGCAGGTCACAGCTTTAATAAGTGGCAGGATTTACAGGAAATAAATCATCTACATAACACTAACCCTTAACCAATTATAGACCAGGTAAGAGCAAATTATAATAAGGTCTCCCTGTAACTTACAATATAAGAGCATTCCTACCAGTTAGTTAAAACTAACCATAAAACAAACCAGCCCTGAATGGGACACTGCAACACAAAACAGCTTTTGCCTGTCTTAAGCCTACCTAGCACACGTGCCTCTGTCTATCATGTGCTGCCCCCTCAAGGCAAGGCTCAGTGTATGGAAGGGATTAATATTCTCCTGGGTCTATATCTCCACATGTCCTGAAGCATGATGATACTAAAATGACCCAACAGTACATTGACTGTCCCGTTCCTACACCGATCATGACCAAGCTCAGAGCCTCTTTTGGACAATATCTGCAGAAAGAGAACCCCCTGCAAGATCCTATCTATAGGAATTGGACCTATTTTTTTAAGTGCCCACAGTAACACCCAGTTTTCTTTTGAGTGGATTACTACATGAGAAAACTATGAAGAAACATACTGACATAGGGGGCAGACAAGTCTAGTCCTTACTTCATTTGAAGTCAATAGGAATTTTGCCATTTATTTCAATATAAGTGGCACTGGGACTAACAAATTAATCACATTGTAGCTGAGGCTGATAAGGCTTCCTAGGTCAATTTAGCATTTCCTGACCACTGACTTCCCACTGGTGGGAAACCAGGAAACTTTTCTATTTGCCAGAAGCAGCACAAGAAAAGAACACATCCAGCAAATTATTCCCACAACCACAAATAAAAAGTAGGAAAAACACATTGCCCATTTTCTTCAGCAAGTAATGCTGGTATTGCCAAATGTCCATATACTAAAGCCTCATATTCAATCACTTTTTATTTTTTTAAAAAAGAGAAACCTATCTTTACATTTTCTAGAGTTCTTTCAAAAGCGTTCAAGAATATATTAGTTACTGATAACTGATGGTGGGTAATACATCACTTCAGATGTTCTTATGAAATAAATTGAGGAAGAATTTGGGGGTTTCAGTTTTTAACTAAAAATAGTTGAAGGCATTTTTTTTCCACTTAAAACCAGACTCTTTTATAGTAGATGCTAAATTATCAGCTTCTGGTTTACATCTCCTTAGCGTAAGTATGAAATGCTGCCAAATGTTCAGAATACTTCAAGCAAATACTCCAATTATTTTTTCTGAAATAAACACGTTCTTATGTTACAGTTCTTATATCTCCAATTTCTAGGAAGGTCATTTAAATATAACAGTTTATTTTGGATGTAATAAAATATGATCTTTCTTAATTTCATATTTAGGTATACTACTGGAGTGCAAAATGCTATAGTAAGAGCAATAATACAGTGGAGGAGTCCTGGAAAAAACATTAACTACTGAATCAATGTCTTTTTACTTCTTGGTTTTTCATCAGATACATTGCTGTAGATCGCCAAATGGTAATGGACATGTATACCTTTAAAGCAAAATGAAACAACTGAATTCAGAAGTACCCTCCAGCATTTGAGATGAGGCAGGTTTGCTGGGAATAGTTTGGCTCTGTTGGAGTCAGCGGTTCTATTGTTCCTTGAAAGCCAAGCAGTCTCCAGCCAGAACACACAATCTCAAGTAAAAGGCCTTATCGTGTAGAAGTCTAGAATACCCTCAATCATTTATTTCAATGCGAGTTGAGGGCATTCACAGATTAAGCTCCAAACTGGTATATTTGTAGCATTGTGTGTGACATGAGATTATACTTCTAGTCTTTCAAAACGTATAAGGGCTATTGTGCTATATTTTCCGTACCTCACCATAACTAGTTCAGCTCAATTAGTCAAAAAAGCTCCTATTTCAAGCTACTTCACATTCCTCCCACCATACCACTGCCATGGGTATGACCCATGGCCCTGGAGGAACAGCTATAGTTGTTATAATTCTCTGGTAGTACCAACCTTTCCAGTTTGCATTTTGCTTCTAACATGGGTGATAATACATGCATAACAATGCACCTAGACCAGACCAGCTGCTGTTATTGGTCAGAACAACATTTTCAGTTCTCAGAGAACAGTGAGTAGTTGCATAAGGAGACACACACAAGCTTTTGCATGGACTAAGTTCTGGCCTCAAATCTAAGGATTTCAAATATCTCTTGTTCTCACTAGAAACTATATAATAGGGCTATGCAAAACAGCACCGTTCTGTTTCGCTTTGAGTTTCGAGGTTTGGATGGAACAGCATTTTGTATCGAATTTCATATAGATTCAAAACAGCTGTTCTGTTTTGCTTCGTTGAAACAGTAAGGCTGTTTCGACTGTTTTGATGTTTTGCTAGATTGGACGGGGATGGGGCGCCAGCCCAGCTGGGCTGACCCCCATTCCCTACTGGATCTTGTGCTGGGGATGGGAAGTCTGCCCAGTTGGACTGTCTTCCCATCCCCTGCGCTATGGTCAAAACATTTCAACTTTCGAAATGTTTCGACTAGCCTTGTTTTGTTTCGAGGTTGTTTTGACGCCCTTTGTTTTATTTCAATTTTGCTGTTTTGACCTCGAAATGAGTCGAAACGGTGTTGAAATGAAATAGATGGCGAAATTTTGCACAACCCTACTATATAATCCACATGCTCAAATGAACACAAGCCTCACTGTTTTCCAAGTGGTGTACAGAGAGGTTTTCAGCTGCACAATTCACATTAAATTAATGGGACTCACACTGTTAAAAGCACAAATGTTCCTATGAAAATTTAAGAGGAAATGGTTACCCCAAAGACCAGTACTTAAGAGATTTAAATTTTTTATTTTATTTTAATTATTTCAATAACTTTGAAGGTTAATTGCTAGCTTTTACCTATAGCTGAAAATCAAGTGAACCAAAAATCATAAACTGAACATGCAGAATAGCTGGACTAGAAAGCCCAACTTTAGGGCTCATGTTAAAAATTGAAGCATGTATGAGCATCATTTTTTATTTCTTCTTCTTTCTCTCTCACTGTCTCCCTGATCCCCGAAATACTTTATTTTACAGACTTCTGGGGAAGAATTTAAGATCACCTTTTTACTGCTTTTTGTTGTGCTGTAATATTCTCCCTTCTGTCCAGTCGCTACCCTCTAGGTGGAACCAGTTCCCACTACCCAGAACCCCCTCAAAGATGACTTCCCCTCTCAAAGATGACAAACACACACACATATCATGCAGATGTAGATAACAAATATGGTACCTAGTGATTATCATATTTAATTGCTTCATTTTTGGACTTTGGATTTCAGTGAGAACAGGACCAGGGCCATTACTGCTATCTATGGGCCAGAATGGCCCCTCTCTCTCTCCCCTCTTCATCTTATCATCATCTGATAAATTTGACATTTGCACTAATGACTGAGGACATTTCAAACAGTTGGACCGGGCTATGTAAATATTTAGCATTTTAACAGAACATTCTGATGGACATCCAAAATATGCATCAGCCTATGAATGCTTTATCTATATCTAAGTAAGAGATGGAGGTGCTGCCTCTCAACAAACAAGATTTGAACAGCTCAGCTGGCAAGTTTGTTTTCCTCTCTATGGTTCTCAAGATTGGCTGGACTTCTTTGCTTAGAACTTTGCTTTTTTTTTTTTTTAAACATAACATGGCCTCCTATGGCATAAGAGTGACAGCAACTACTCCCTGTGAATACAGATTACAACTGCACAGAATTGTTGATAGGTCAGCCAAATGATGAGCAATATTTATCCAGTTTGGAACTTCAAGTTGTGCATGTTACTGGTCTACAACACCACTTGTTCTTACTACTGTTATTCTTGTCCTTCTTTCTTTTTCTCTTCTACTATCTATTTCACTGGCTTGTTGCCTTTTTTCCTTAAATTAGGAACAAGGGAACATTTTGTCCTATGTATTTGTAGAGCCAAACGTTCCAGAATGTCTGAACAATGATAACTATAAACTAGATGCATCAGTGAAAGCTAGAAAAATTGGGAAGATCTGTGGAAACCCAAATCTTAATGATAAGGTTTTGGGATCCTGCTTAGAAAAATACTATAACAGACATTATGGGTGCATCTCACAAGCAGGAATGAACCAATGGGCACATCCCCACAAGTGGGAATGTGCATTTCCCCGGGGACAAACAACAGCAGCACAATATGTGCTGCTACTGCTTGTCCCCAGGAAATGCCTGTGCATGTGAGCTCTGGCACACAGCATGTTGCCTCAGGTAGGGTAGGGGAGGCTGGGGCCAGCACCTAGACTGGTCCCACCAGCCTTATCTGGGGTCCTGAGGGCCTCTGGGGACTGCAGCTGCAGCAGTCCGGCAGCACGGAGCCTGGCTGGCAGCTGGAGCATGGGTATGGTCAGCCAGACTCCGCTTTCTAGCAGCACATGATGCCGCCATGTGTACCACCCCACTTTTTTAAGGTGCAGCGTTTTTTGACACTGGGATCTCTCAGTGTCAAAAAAACCCTTGCACTGCAAATTAGCAGTGCAGGGAATGCCTGCATGTGTGGTGTGTGCAGTATGCAGCACTGCAGATGGGTCCGCAGTGCCTCATACTGCACATCCGTGTTCATCTGGCAATTAACATCTGTGAA